ACCGCCATGACGGCCCCATCACCGCCCCGCCCAGGGGAGGGGCCACGCGCCCCTCTCTGTCGCTATGGAAACCGGCGCCATCTTGGCGGGCGCTGAGGGCTGCCCGGTAGCAACGGCCGCGCTCCCCGTTGCTACGCGCCCGGGGAGGCGAGGGGGGGGTAGCACTGCGCAGGCGCAAAGAGCGCGGCGGCGGAGGGAGGGAGGGCAGCGGGCGCAGTGCCAGCCGTTGGGGCGGAGCTCGCGCGGAGACGGTCCCGAGGCTGGGCGGGTGGCGCAGGCGCAGTGCGGGCGGCGGCCGGCGCGTGGGGCGCGGCGCTGAGGGGAGGTAGGGGTGGGGGGCAGAGGGGCGGTGCCGGTTGCGGCTGTGAGGGGGGCTCCAGCGGGAAGATGGACGACTTCCAGTCGGCGGAGGAGGTAACGGGCCCGGGGCATGGGGGAGGCAGGGGAAAGTGGGTAAGGGCAGCTTCGGGACTTCTCCTTTCGGGAGGCTGAGGGTGTTGGGAGATGCCCGTCCGGTATCGGTCCGCCCCGGCGGCCGTTGGGGGCCGGCATGGCGGCGGGGGTTGGCGGTGTCTCCGAGCCGCGCGTCCCAGGCAACGGCTGGAGATAGGCCCGGCCTTTGTTCTCGCCGCGCTGCCCCGCTCCCCGCCCCGGCCGGAGCCCCCCACCCGGAGTTCTCTGTCCCCAGATGTGGCTACCGGCCGGGCCAGCGCCTTGTCTGCCTTTCGGGTGTTCATAGAATCACTGAAGGGTTCAGGTTGGAAGGGACCTTAAAGATCATCCAGTTCCAAGCCCCCTGCCATGGGCAGGGACACCTCCCACCAGACCAGGTTGCTCCAAGCCCCATCCAGCCTGGCCTTGAACCCCTCCAGGGATGGGGCAGCCACAGCTTCTCTGGGCAACCTCTTCCAGTGTCTCACCACCCTCACAGGAAAGAATTTCTTCCTAAATTTTTATCTTCCCCGGGCTCCCCTTCTCTTGGCATCAGCCCCGCGCCTGCCTCTCTCCCAAAAGCTGCTGCTGGAAATCAGTTGGATAAAATGCCCGAGGAGCACCGTGGTTTTTGGCTTCACCAACAGGCCGGAGCAGTGGGCTGTGGTGCTGGAGCCTTGCTGGTCCGGTTGAGATCAGTGTGAACAAAACTCCAGTAAGCTATTTTTGCGTGGAAAGAAGAGTTCAAGCACAAAGCCTGCGTGTTACAGGCACGCTAATGAGACAACTATCCCTTTATACCCCATTAACGATGATACAGAGTCGGATAAATCAAGGGTCTCTTTCTTTATTGTGCTAAATAACTACCCAGCAAGTGTTGCCCTTGCAGAGGGAGTTTCTGGGAGCTGTGACAATGTGCTGCATTGTTCTTCAACAGCCGCATTGTGGCTTGGTTAGACAATAGCAAAGCAGCGTGAGGGGTGAAGGTGTGTCAGGCTGTTGCTGTCCCGCTTGCTGGGCCTGGCCTCTATTGGGCAGTTACGGATGCTTTTTAAAAAAAATGATAATATACTTGAATGTCAATCTTATGGCTGTTTTCAGAAATGTCTTTAGAATTACTCAAAAATAATACTGCTTTGCAGTTGGCATTTGTTGCCTTGGAAAACCTCTTTTAAACAGTGTTGGAAACATCACATCTCCTTTCCTTGAGCTCAGAGAAATCACAAAGCTGCTGATTTTTTTCCCCCTTTATTTTAATACAAAAAGTGTTTATACTATCTTATTAAAGGATGGAATAGTGTTGTATTATTTGCCAACTCGGTTACAGCACACAAATCACAAAGCTGGACCTTGGGATTTTTATCACAGAATGTTCTGTTTTGTTGCGGATCTAAACCCGTATAGATTCTCACCCTAAGAAAGGGAGAGGGTCGAGAAGTAACAGCAACTCTAGACCCAAATTCTCACATATATCCATGGCTCTTGCCCACTTGTTTCCATATAAATTAGGTATCTAAATACCTTTGAGAAATTGGGTTGGATTTAATTCTGTTTACTTTGCTGCGCCGTGTTTGTTCTCACTCAGAGGCGTTTCTGAGCAGAGTTCTAGACTTTGTGAAGAAAAATCCATACGTGGTTTATCATCTTGCCTCAGAGCATGTTTCATGTCTGTCAGCCTGTCTGGTATGTGCATTCTTAACTTAGGCCCCACGAGAAAAGATATTTTGATAGTTACAGCTCTTATTTGGTTAAATACAGTGGTGCACCTTAAATGTAAGCACCTGTAAAACTCAGTACCGTGAAAACAAATGAGGCATATTGAAATTAAATCAAAGTCAAGAAGCTGAAAATAAAAGCCCGTTTGACACAGCCCATTAAAGCTTTTTTAAATGTTGAAGTGTGGGAGGAAGTTGGTGCCTCCGAATGGTTGGAGAAAGGGCATTGCCAGCACCTCTCCCGGGGCGGGCTGTTCCTTCTGCTGGAGAACACTCAGCTGCTTACATGTTTCTGAACGTCGTGTGTCAGTGCAGCCAACTAGACTGTTCACCTCCTGACCAAACGTTTGATGAATATAATGCTGAAATTCTCCCGAGTGGGTATAGCTATGACCTGCCTGCGCACCCCAGTTATGCCGCTGGTCGTGTTTGCTGGCTGGAGGAGCTGACAGCCCTCCCAGTGATAACTCGATTAGGTTAATTTTGAAATCTTTATTCAGTCTGCTGAAATTAATCAGTTTGCTGTTATGTGCATTTCTTTTGGCTGATTTCTTTCTTCTGGTGCGTGAGGTGAGGCTGTGAGATACCTGTAGTGAAAACGGGGTGCCTGGCTCACAGCCGCGCTGGGAGGGATCCTGCCCCTTAGCGCTTCCCGGCCCTTTGAAGGGCTGTTTGGCTTGTTTTAGCCACTTTACATGAGAGGTAGCACCAGCTGAGAGACTGAAACAGGAAAACATGCCAACCACGCAAGGAAACGGGTAGTAGTAGTAAAATATTGGGACCTTCTCTGTCCTCATTCTATGTGCTTAATCTCAACTGAGCCTGAGAGAAGGCTGAAGGAGGGAAGTCCAACAACCTACATTTCCCCTTTGGTTTCCAAGGGGCAGATTTCTTCTTATCCCCAGCTCAAATTGTCAGCTTTTCCTTGAGCTGTGAATTGATCTTTTATCCACTTCAGTGACCTGGAGACGTCAGTTTCATTTAACTGTAAGCTGTGTCTGCGCACTGAGGCTGTCTCTGCAACCCCTTGTGAACTGTGGACATTGATGCTTATTGTAAAACGAGAATGTATATGTACAGAACTGTATAGGTATATACCGTATAGGTATCAAAATACTTTAAAAATACTTTAAAATTTGAAAACTTTTGAGTCAATGTTAGTTTTTCTGTTACCTTTCATGACTTTGCTAAGAATGTTAACTTGACTGGGTTCAGGGAGCCGGAGTACATATGAGCAAATAAAGGATGACTAGGTATCTCCTGACTCACAAGAAATCTGACAAGCATAAATTAAGCTTCTAGTGAATGTTCTTAACAAAGCTTGAACTCTGTAAACCGAAGAATTTGCCCACTGATGATTTAAAATCCCATTTTTTTGTTTTGTAGACTTCCTTTGTTGTTGATGAAGTCAGTGGCATCATTAAAGAGGTAAACTTAATGTTTTCATTTTGTTGGTGTGATAGTATGTTGCATGCTGTGTGCTGAAAGCCATTAAAGAAAATGTGATAACTGATATGTAATAGATTTTCTAGATGGGTTGCTGTCAAAGCATAGATAATTGTTGATGTAACTGATGTACATACAATACAATAGAAACAATACCTAGCTTTAGTTGTGACATGTATTACAAGTCCAAAAAATAATTAAAATAATTTCATGTGCTGTTCTCTGGTTGCAGAGTATCCCTGTTAGAATTTCTAGGAGGATGTTGTGTGTTAAGCCCTATAGAGATAGAATTTATGTTTCAGTAACATAGGGATTTTTATAGGCTGTCTGCATATGCATGTTACAGTGTTCCTTTGAGATGCTTTTCCTCCCAAACGAGTTCTTGTTTGTTTGAAATTATTAAACTATTCTTGTTGCTAAGAAACATGAATTTCCTGTCTAGAAGATCTCCAGAGGGATTTTTTGTGTGTGTCCAGAATTCCACTTGAAGAGCAGACTGGTGCAATCTTTTTCTTGTTGCAAAACAACTGTTCTGGTCAGGCTCTGTAAATTGAATACACGTGCTTTAATACATGCTCCTGGCCCTTCTGAATCTGAAATCATTTTGCGGTTATTTTTTAAACAACTTATGTGAGGGAAAGAAAATATGTCAGTGAAAAACATGCAGCTTTAGTATACTTTTATAAGGGGAAACTATAATCATAAACAAAACGGGTCTTATTTGGCTGAAGGCTTCTGCTCTGTTAGTAACCAACAACTACATGGGTCTTTTGTTTCGATTTAGGGTTTTGTTTTCCAAAAATTATTTCACTGAAAAATCTGAAATTCATTTCCATGGAAGAATATGTGCAGATGAGCCATTGTTGTTTGCATTTTTTTCTGGTCTTTTCGTGACTCTTTTAGTGGAAGACCCTTCTCATAACTCTGGCTTGAGGATATTGGGATAGGAATTAGAAATAATCAAAATATCACAGAATGAAGATGGAATCTGTTATAATTTCCCCTAAACCTGGCTCAAAGTCTGACCTGCAAGTTTCTTAATAATTGAGAACACTTCCAACTATCAGAATGGACGAGCTGTATTTCAGATTTTTTTCTGAGGGTGCGGGGTTTCATCGTTAGCGCTCCACGTTGGAATGGGTTCATGGGTCTCTTGTAGATTGCAACTTGGTTTATGTGTTTGTCGCTCACAGGCCATAGAAAGTGCGATAGGTGGCAATGCCTACCAGCACAGCAAAGTCAACCAGTGGACAACGAGCGTGGTGGAACAAACCCTGAGCCAGCTCACAAAGCTGGGCAAGCCTTTCAAGTACATCGGTGAGCTCAGCTTCCCTTCAGCTTTCCCTTCCCTTCAGCTTTCCCTTCCCTTCAGCTTTCCCTTCCCTTCAGCTTTCCCTTCCCTTCAGCTTTCCCTTCCCTTCAGCTTTCCCTTCCCTTCAGCTTTCCCTTCCCTTCAGCTTTCCCTTCCCTTCAGCTTTCCCTTCCCTTCAGCTTTCCCTTCCCTTCAGCTTTCCCTTCCCTTCAGCTTTCCCTTCCCTTCAGCTTTCCCTTCCCTTCAGCTTTCCCTTCCCTTCAGCTTTCCCTTCCTTTCCCTTCCCAGTGCAGTCAAGTGCACTGGGGGGTAGGGGGTGGGGAAAGATCTTAGCAAGAACCATGTCTGTAAATTACTGGTAAGCATGTATATACGCCTATTTGTGTATGTATGAGCTATGCTAAGCAAAAATGTTAGCATATTAATAAAAGCTTCTCTCCTGACTAACAGTGACCTGTGTGATTATGCAAAAGAATGGTGCTGGGCTACACACAGCAAGCTCTTGCTTCTGGGACAACTCCAGTGATGGTAAGGAGCACAGCTGTTGGATTGTTCAGCTTGTGACTTTAATACTAATGTCCTTAAAATTAGGCACCGCATTTTTCTTTTTTTTCCCCAAGTGCTATAGTTTTGCAGTAATAGCGCAGCTGTTGTATTGTTCAGCTTGTGACTTTAATACTAATGTCCTTAAAATCAGGCAGTGCACTTTTCTTTTTTTTTCCCCAAGTGCTATAGTTTTGGAGTAATAGCACACAGGTTGGTATTTTTTCCATTGGGCTGTGATGCTGTGTTATGTATGAAATGTTTAGCTGCTGTGAATGCGCTGTGATGCTGTGTTATGTATGAAATGTTTAGCTGTTGTGAATGCCTTGTTCTTAAGATTCTTAATGCAAACAATTACAAACATGCATATAAGGGTGTGCATTTAATCACTGTAACTTTCTTCTGTCTCTGAAACCCTTTTTGTAGGAACCTGCACCGTGAGATGGGAGAACAAGACCATGTACTGTATTGTCAGTGCCTTTGGACTTGCAATATAATTGCCTTGGGATCATTCATCCTTCTCTTTTCTACTCCAGCACTTGATTCCATCTCTACTCAAACTGTGAATACACTGAACGACTTCTGGTTTTAATGTACCTTTTAAGGAACTTTTTTTTTTTTCCAAACGTAGAAATGTGAAAACACGCTGTTACATGGTTTATGTTTGTCCTTAGTATTGTGCCAGTGCTGCCGTACTGTCTTAACACTTCAAGAACTTCTCTTCAAGGTGCTAATACTGAAATCTGCTGCAGCGTAAACACTTTCTCTAGATTTCTTTTTTTTAAGACCAATGCAAATGAGACACCGACTTTTCACACTTTGTACTTTTGGTTAGCATTAAATTATTGAAATTCACAACCATTGGTGTGACTCATTTAGGCTTAACTCTTCTGTTGTTAAAAAAGAAAGTTCCAATGCTTTTAATTCTCTTCAGGGTAGTTGAGTTACATACCAGAACACAAAGCACTTAGGTAATTTTGCCAAAGTCACTACAAAATCACAAGAAAATGAGATGATGTTCATCAGAAAGTGACGTGGCTGCATTTTTGGGACTTGTGTAATCTGATTGTATGGTATTTAGGGCATGGAACGATAACAGAAATAACTATATTCATTGAGCAAAGACAGATAAGAATTTTTTTGCATTCTAGAAGTGCTCAGCAAGCTCTGCATGGGCAATCATTTGCTTCTGCAGCCAATTGCGTGGGTTAAGTAGGTCTTGAACTTACCTGCTGCCTTTTACGTTGCTTTTGCTGGCACTGAGCGTGATGAGGTCTCAGTTGGTGAAACGTGATCCTTTCTGAACGGGGGGAAAGACGGCATCCAGGTGACACGACTAAATAACGCGTGAGTAAGTCCCCTGCCTCTAAAGTTTCAGAGGATTAACAAGTAAAACAAGTTTTCAGCAGGGGTTTGGATAAGGTTTTCTTTGTCAGCTGCTTACAGAACGGGGAGCATGCTGAGTGCCAGGCTGCCTCTGTGAGCTGCTCTGCTGCTCTGTAAGGAGCAGCTGGCGGGTGGTGAAGCTGAAAGAATTACTTACAAAGCTGGTAGGGGAGAGCACTCCCGGGCTACAGTCAAGGACCTGCATTTCCTTATGTTTAGGAAACCCTTCCATCTCCCGTTGAGTCAGTATTTACTTCTGGAAACCCTTGGCTGCTTGGTAAAGCCATTCAAACAGTCCTTGTCCTTAGTTCATATTTTAATAGCAAATCCCTTGATGATTTTTGCCGTTTGTTAGTTCACATGTGCTGAACTGCAGGAAAAAAAACCATGTTTGAGCTGCTTGTCTGCCAGGCTGCCTCTGTGAGCTGCTCTGCTGCTCTGTAAGGAGCAGCTGGCGGGTGGTGAAGCTGAAAGAATTACTTACAAAGCTGGTAGGGGAGAGCACTCCCGGGCTACAGTCAAGGACCTGCATTTCCTTATGTTTAGGAAACCCTTCCATCTCCCGTTGAGTCAGTATTTACTTCTGGAAACCCTTGGCTGCTTGGTAAAGCCATTCAAACAGTCCTTGTCCTTAGTTCATATTTTAATAGCGAGAGCACTCCCGGGCTACAGTCAAGGACCTGCATTTCCTTATGTTTAGGAAACCCTTCCATCTCCCGTTGAGTCAGTATTTACTTCTGGAAACACTTGGCTGCTTGGTAAAGCCATTCAAACAGTCCTTGTCCTTAGTTCATGTTATAATAGCAAATCCCTTGATGATTTTTGCCGTTTGTTGGTTCACACGTGCTGAACTGCAGGAAAAAAACCCCACGTTTGAGCTGCTTGTTGGTGTAAAAGCTGTATGGGAGGAGAGAACCCTGTTGAATTAGAACAGAAGTTGTGCTGCAGAAAGGGAGCTGTAGTTTTATAGATGGTTTTAAATGTGAGCAATTACCCGCTTCCGATGTAGCAGTTTTAGGACTACAGACAGGGGTTTAGGGGCTGCAGGTTGGTTTTTGTTTGGTTTTTTTTTTTAATGTTGCAGTCTTGCTGTTATTGGTTTTTGTTTGGTTTTTTTTTTTTTTAATATTGCAGTCTTGCTGTTGTACAGCTACTGATTTTTAAATTTTACTTATCTTCAAACACCTTAATCACTGGTTTTGAAGACTGCTGGCCAGCTCCTCCTTTTTAAATTTTACTTATCTTCAAACACCTTGAAGACTGCTGGCCAGCTCCTCTCAGGGCTAAGGTAAAGCATCTGGGTGATGAGCTTGCAGAGTCCTTGGTCCGGGTAGTTAATTAGCTGTTAAAAAAAATAATAAATGAATAGCACAAAGTGTGGCATCAGCAGTAACTGCTGCTGGTAAAGGAGCGCTGCCATCGCTGCGATGAGAGCGTGTCCATTCGTGCAGAGGTGGTTACAGCCCTCTCATTCGGTCTCTCCTGGAGTTTATAGGAGGACTGGCATCACCCCATACGGAGGGGGATGTGCTCATCACGTTTGCAGGCTCTCAGCTGTGGGCAGACTCTTGGAAGAAACTGAACTCTAAGGAGATGAACGACTTAAGCATCTTCAGCATCTCTAAACCTTTTTTTTTTTTCCATTACTGGCCAGCAGGAGACCATCTGAGAGCAGCTACAGTGAAGCCCACACCTTTGGCTGCCACTGACATTCACCAGGGGACCTTCTGCTGCCCGCGTGACACGGTGGGCTTCACAAAGCCACACTGAAGCCATTTGGGATCACCGGTTCCCTGTAGGAAACTGGCTGGTGTATTTCTTAGGAAAATGAGTAACCCGTCCTTCCTCCTTCGAGCCCAGGCAGGGTGAGCAAAAAGAACCCCCAAAAAAACTCCAAATCATAATTCCCTGGTTAATCTGTGCTGAGGGAGCCTCCAGGATCCCATCTGTATGTAATTAAGCAAATTTAAATAAGTGTAAGAAAATGGTACAGTTAGTCATTTGCTAGAAGGAAAAGAAAACCAAGATACAATATAAAGATATAAAACTTTATTATGAACATATTTAACAATGATTATGCACATGAAGTCTTCCAAGAAGCTCATTATCCAACTTTTGCTTGAAGTAAAATATTGGTTTTTTCCTTCATATTCCATAATAGCATGAAGTTTTCCGACATAAATGGATAATTTGCTGTCATTAACACAACTTCTAGACACATAGAATATTTAACACGTCCTCATGCACACTTTCTCAAAGCAGCATTTAATTACAGCTTCTCATTAAACAGAGCGCTTATCTTACACATTTTTATACCATTTTGGTACACAATTTTTCCATATTTTTCATTTTACATATTTACAAACTTCTAAAAAAAAAAAATTGTACAGTGATGCAAAGGTTATTACTGGCATAAGCAAAAGGAAATGGGGGGGAAATTAGGTGACTATGGATATGAAGTTGTCTTTTGGCTCAGAGAAAGACAATGGATCAAAGCCTTTCCTCGCCGGAATGGCCTTCCAATTTTCCCCAGTATTAATGCCACGGGTTGGTTGCACTCACTGGTCCTTACTGGTGTTAAGCCTTATGCTTCCTATTCTTTGCCAGTGCCAGGAGAGGTTCCAGCCAACTCCAACTGTTTTTAAAGCAAATACTACAAAAAATGGTTGCCACAAATGGCTCACACTCAATGATTATCCAACTGTTTTTAAAGCAAATACTACAAAAATGGTTGCCACGAATGACTCACACTCAATGATTTCTTACAAGTCCCTCTTGATCACTGTGTACATGGAACTCTTGCAGTTATTTAATAGGCATCTCCTCTAGAGCAGAACACTATGTTGTGGGGCTTTTGCGTACTTTTCTCATTTTATACAGTTCCATTAGTGAAGGAAATAATTAATTCCCTTAGCAGTAACGAAAGGGAAGCCAGGCTGCTTTCACCCGTAGCTTACAGTGCTTCACTCAGGTGAATTTATGCCACCTACTCCCAACCTGTTCACAGTCCGAATTGTAACATTCCTCAAATACTGTCTCTGCTTTCCAGTTGTGGGAATAAGTGAAAATGAGATTTCTTACCAGCAGAGCAATTTCTTCATCTGCTTCACTGCTTTTGCCTTTTTACTGTATATTGAATTTGATGCGATGGTGCTTCAGCCAAGCTTATCATTACACTCCAGCACTTTCGCAACACAAAACTATTTCACATGGCAAACCTGGCTTAAATATAATCTAAAAATTAACAAAGAAACTATTTTCTCACTATTTTCATAGTGAGATATTTCTGTTAAGTACACATTTCCCATTCTCAGCTTTCCTGTTTCCGCTTTGAATGTTGTGATGTAGGAAAGTTAATGCAAACAAAATGGCAAGTGAAATGGGCTGAGAACAATTTAGAAAAAATCATCATCTCAAAGTTAGATTAAAAATATTTTCTTTAGCTACTGAAATCCCAAAGCATGACACTGTGTTTGAGGGTTAACTGTAACAACCAGTTCAGATGTGATAAGAAACATGAGTACATTTTGCACATCGGTCATTTTTTCCCTTCAGAACAATTTAGGGGTTAACTGTAACAACCAGTTCAGATGTGATAAGAAACATGAGTACATTTTGCACATCGGTCAGATCAAACATTTTTTCCCTTCAGAACAATTTACATCAGAAATAAACAATATCAGAGCCAAAAAGATCTGAATATATAAGAACCGTGTAAATATCGAATTCTGAAGACCTGATTCCTGCCACCCACTGTTACTCCAGTGAAAGTTGAAAGGACTTTGCAAATTCAAACAGCGGTAAGCCTCATAGTAAAAATGAGAATGGGCTCGTTTTAGGATACAAAGATATCCCCCGTACTTGTTAAATCTAAAAGAGAATGGGCTCGTTTTAGGATACAAAGATATCCCCCATACTTGGAGGTGCTGAAGGTACAGCTTACTGTAGTTCACGGGGGAAAAAACAAAAACCAACACACCACTAACCTGAAATACTTCTTTAATGTCTTCGTATATGGTGTTCTAAACTGACACTAATTAATTAAGAAATTAAAGGAAAAAACCTTCCCCTCCCCTGAGCAGTTTCCTTGGTTTAGCCATAGAATAGTGCTTTGGCTTCTAACAAATAAATGGTCCCCAGTACAGAAAGTTTTAAATTTCAAATATCCTCCAAAAATTTCACAGCTCTACATAATTTTAGGAAGTTTTCTCCCTCACACACGCGGAGTGTCTCACCACCCCCATCTTTAGCAGAGCACCGAGTTAATCATTTAATCTGAACTATTTTCTGACATGAAGCAGTTCCTTTGGTCCTCTCTAAACAAACTGCTCTCCTGTGAAGTCTCCCGTTCGTGATCTCCAGCAGCCACCAGGAGAGGTTACTGCAGTGGGAATGCTCCACAGCAGTCCTCGCATCAAAGCGGAACAAATCTATTTTTTCCCTAATACCATTCAGCAAATCAATCAAGTAGGACTTCATTGCACTCTTCTGCTTCAACTAGTTCAGTGAGGAGTACAATTCCCTAGTGTAAGCCAGCACCAGCTTCTGTCTAAGACATTAACAGTACTTTTGAGAGTCTTCTCTACAGCAGCAGGGCAGGGAAATGGTACAAGAGTCAATCACAGTCACAAAAAAAAAAAAAGATACTTTCAGACAGGTCAAGTACTTGAAAACAAAATTAATTAGAAACAAAACATCCTCTTAAATAAAGAGCTGAGCAACGGTGCAGGAGAAACCCAACTTTTAAATAGAGAAGCAGCAGCATTGTACCAGGAATACTGAATTCCCATAAAACTCTGCTCCAGCACAGACTGGAACACAGATAATAAAATGTCCTGGAAGTTCTGACGGGTACAAGTGGCGCCTGTGGTTATGACAAAGAAGTTGAACCATGGCTAGAACATGCCCAAAAGCCAACTCTCACACATGTTCAATACATGAACAACTGTTCCTAGGATGTAGAATAACTATTAATACACCTTAAGAAAAAAATCTGATGTAGAAAAAGCCTCTAAAAATGAAATGTTTGGAAATTTTAAATTAATCTCTGTGAAACTTTCACACTGTATTCTCTGCAAGTGTAACAATCTCCTCCAGCACACAAAAGCCCAGAAAGAAGAGTACTGGCTTCCTTCTGAGGTTTGTTGTTGCCTAAATATTTCTATTTAAAAGGGCTGTTTAAAAAAAAAAAAAAGGCAAAACAAACCCAAAGGCTTCTGTTGTGGCGGTAAAGCATGTTATGAAACATGTATTATACAGATCATTTTGCACCACTGAGGCTATTTTGGCTCACTAGAACTTGACTATTTGCACGTATCTCACACTAACAAATCTGGTAAACTTAAATGAATTTTAAAATATTCTTAAGTCTGTATCACTTCTTTGAATGAAGAATGGAAAGTTTGTGTTTTTCTTGCATTTAAAAAAAAAAAAAAGGAAAGAGAGAGAGAAAACCATAAACCATTTCATTCCCTGCTTCCAGCTCAATAGACTAAGGTAGAAAATTGAAAGGGAAATGAGGCACTTGGTACAGCAGTGGGCAATCCACAAAGGAGCTAACACAAATGCAACAGATGAATGACAATATGCTGGACATAACCCTCAGAACAACCCACCAGAAAACCAAGGAAGCAATTTTAAAATCAGCATATAATCAGTGATACTTCTAAATGGAAATAGGTTTCAAGATTTTAGTCCATAGACATCCTTCTATCAGGCATTTTATAAGATGCATAAAAATTTTGGTTTCTTATGTTTTCACCACAACCTTTTCAAGCATTGGGGTTTTTTTCAGTTTTAACTTTGTAAACAGAAACAGAAGCAGGATGTCCTTCCTGGGAGTCGGTGTTGAGATGTCAGCAGACTAAGAAAGCCAAGGAAGTTGTACATCTAGGAAAACTTCAGGATTGGTGTAATCCCACCTGATTGGTGTAATTCCACCTGAACAAGTCTGTCTACAGCAAAATCAATCACTGTCCGATTCCTCTTTATACTTGGCTCTAATAGCTTGGCCATTCTGAAGTGGCATTTCTTCATAGTCACTCCTGTGAAACAGATACTTGTTAAAAACTCTGAACACAGTGTTTAGATAGGAAGTCCAAAATAAACAGGGAAGTTCTAAACTGCATCAAATTGTTATTTGGGTAAGCAGCTGGTTATCTGTTTTGCTTCCTTGTGGTAGATATGAACAATATATTGACTTTTTTCCAGAAGACAATGCATAATAAAAGTTATTCCAGTGACTACAAGCCGCTCTTTGCAAGGGTTCACCTAGAAGCAAGCTGGTACTACTGCTACTCATCTAACTAGTGAAAGGCAAGCTCCCTCAGACAATGGCTACAGCTACAGCACAATCTTGTTCAGGTGACTGCAGCACTAACCCCACCCTCCCTGCTCCAACCATGTCCCTGTCCTTGGGGAGAGGTGCAAACAGCGAGGGCAGACGAGGAGTTTGTTCAGTGTCTCTGCAGAGACACCTGATGGGGATGGGTTTTCAGCACTACGATAATTCTCATATTATATAAACTCGCAGAAGTCCAGGAAATTTGGCTAGATTTGATTATTCTTATTTCATTAAGTGATGGATGCTTAAGGAGAGCCATTCTCCTTCTCTAAAGCATTTACGTATGAGCTGCTGCTTTGGTAACTCCACCTGACTCCCGCAATCTTTCCCAGTTAAAAAGGGAGTTCTTCCATTTCACATCTCACACAGCCCTCACTCCACGACCTGCCAGCACTCTAATTTAAAAAAATTTACAAACCTAATTACCTGTTTGTATCAGTGCCATGGCAATCCCTTTTAGAAACCAAAAAAAGAAGAAACAAAATAACATGCATTCTCATTGCATTGCTGTTTCAGAACATGGCTACCTTTCTGTTCTTTAGGCAAAATACTTTCATTAGCAACCTGCAAACTCTTCACTTATTTAACAAACAAAGAACATTACAAAAATAACACACTAAAGTAACTCTCCATAAGTAGTTTATAATCTTACCCATAAATCACATCATCATCTGAATCATTCAGCATTGAAAAAGCAGGATTGTCTTTCAACTGTGATTCTGGAAAATACAAACAGGGGTTAATTTAGCGCATTAAGTACAGAGATGTGGCTGTACTTCCAACCCAACACCGGAGCAACAGCCTTGACCACTTCCAAGACAACTACAATTCAACAAAGCTATATCCAAACAGGAATTCTCTCCTTTAAATTCTTCACCCTTTAGCCATAATGTCATGGTATTTGTAAGAGTTAAGGAGATGACGTAACTATCTAATCTTATTTTTAGATAGATATTCTCCATGTTGTATAAGCGGATTTCCTCCCTTGTGCAGTTCCCTATGTCATATTATTTCAACCTGCACGTAACAGTTAATTATGTCAGACTTCATTATTTTTAATCATTATTGAAAAGTTCATATGTATTTAAAAAGCACAGACCTCATTAACTTCTTGGTTATTTCTAAACTACAAATATAAGTCAACCGCAGTTGTAATCCCTTGCATGCAAGTCCATGATTAGCCGGTTATTTTTCATCCTTGTGCCTTACGGCGAGACGAGAGGAAGCACATACTTTCCATTGGCTGTTTAAGACAATTCCCTCTACCTTGTTTTAAGGCCTTCATTTCCTGCATAATCCGCTGTTGAGCTGCAGTTCCTAATTATGCGCAAGGAAAATTCAATCCAGGAATTTGCTATAAACATCTTTTTCCTGGCAGCTTTCTACTTTTCGCCTTCTATAAACTAATACTTCTTGCAATCCAACAGCAAGTTTTTTAACCTTATCCTCACCCAGGCATTTCTCTTGTCTTTCTTAAAGCTTTTTTTTTCTGTAAAAATTCCATCCATCTCTACTCTAAAATGTTTAGGGAAAGGACCGGCTCCAGTATTTAGTGCCTTTCCCCTGCACATGCAGTGTGCAAGATGTGACTGGACAGGGTGCCAGATCATCTTGTCTAGGCTCCCTTTCCCATGAAAGGTTGGACCAGAAGATCTTTCCAGGTCCCTTCCAACTCGGTTCTGTATTTTATACTCAATGTGAAAGGTTGGACCAGATGATCTTTCCAGGTCCCTTCCAACTCAAGCTGCTTTATGGTTCTGTAATTTATACTCAACAATCTTACCCATAAATCACATCATCATCTGAATCATTCAGCATTGAAAAAGCAGGATTGTCTTTCAACTGTGATTCTGGAAAATACAAACAGGGGTTAATTTAGCGCATTAAGTACAGAGATGTGGCTGTACTTCCAACCCAACACCGGAGCAACAGCCTTGACCACTTCCAAGACAACTACAATTCAACAAAACTATATCCAAACAGGAATTCTCTCCTTTAAATTCTTCACCCTTTAGCCATAATGTCATGGTATTTGTAAGAGTTAAGGAGATGACGTAACTATCTAATCTTATTTTTAGATAGATATTCTCCATGTTGCATAAGCGGATTTCCTCCCTTGTGCAGTTCCCTATGTCATATTATTTCAACGTGCACATAACAGTTAATTATGTCAGACTTCATTATTTTTAATCATTATTGAAAAGTTCATATGTATTTAAAAAGCACAGACCTCATTAACTTCTTGGTTATTTCTAAACTACAAATATAAGTCAACCGCAGTTGTAATCCCTTGCATGCAAGTCCATGATTAGCCGGTTATTTTTCATCCTTGTGCCTTACGGCGAGACGAGAGGAAGCACATACTTTCCATTGGCTGTTTAAGACAATTCCCTCTACCTTGTTTTAAGGCCTTCATTTCCTGCATAATCCGCTGTTGAGCTGCAGTTCCTAATTATCTGCAAGTAAAATTCAATCCAGGAATTTGCTATAAACATCTTTTTCCTGGCAGCTTTCTACTTTTCGCCTTCTATAAACTAATACTTCTTGCAATCCAACAGCAAGTTTTTTAACCTTATCCTCACCCAGGCATTTCTCTTGTCTTTCTTAAAGCTTTTTTTTTCTGTAAAAATTCCATCCATCTCTACTCTAAAATGTTTAGGGAAAGGACCGGCTCCAGTATTTAGTGCCTTTCCCCTGCACATGCAGTGTGCAAGATGTGACTGGACAGGGTGCCAGATCATCTTGTCTAGGCTCCCTTTCCCATGAAAGGTTGGACCAGAAGATCTTTCCAGGTCCCTTCCAACTCGGTTCTGTATTTTATACTCAATGCTTAAGTGGAGTCTAAAACGCTCAGTATAAAAATTTCTTCTACAGAATCTTTATCTGTTAGAGCGGGATAATGCTTTATAATCATCATGTGAGTCAGATTACATCCTCTACGTAGGAACGCAAAAACAGAAGTGCCACTGATTAAGTCCTTTATCTCTCTGTACATGGGCTCTGTGCAGCTCTCCCCCCACAGCAAGATCCCCAAAACCTCCCCATGTTAGAGACCAGCTTCACTCCTACTTTTCCAACAGTGTTCCCTATTTCAGAGTGCAGTGTGCCCGCGTGCCAACACATCAGCCTCATTGTTAAAACAAAGTAGAAATGAAGTATTGTTGCTCCTTAAGGACTGTCTGTGAGGCAGTGCAAAAGTTAGAGCATTATGTGCACACATCATATTGATTATAAGCTTGATTAAGAATTCAAGTCTAGCTAATTAGCTGCATACATTTTATGTCTTCCTTCATATTTTCAGTACTAATTTGCTCAGGGACAGTGCAACTTCTGCTTATGTTAACTCAAAGCAAATTGCAACAGTATTGAAACAACCAAAATACAAATGCCAGCTCTTGCCATATAAGTTTACCAGACAATTGCTTCCCACTTACCATATAGTGCATTCTTTGAGGGGGAATACACGAAGGCTAATGTGTAGAGATAAAAGTTCAATAAACCATAAAATGATAGGAATTCTGCTGGTATTAAGTGTCAAGGATATTGCTCAATATAGTTCCACACATATTAACTTTGGATACAAGACCTAAACCATACAAATCTGTTTCAATGGAAAGAATGTTTACCTTACTAAAGTTTGAGACCCTAAATGGCTGAACAAATCGCTATGTTTTAAATTTAAAGACAACAAATGTACTCAAGCTGTTTCAAGGTAAAGCTCCCACTGAAGACAAAGCTTTAGCTTAAACACAAGTAACATTTGCTGAGGTAAGGTTTTCTCTGGAGTGTAGGAGTACATAGTAAATTGAACTAAATCAATTTAGTTGAATCAGTTTAGAGCACTGAAGCTCTGCCTTCAATGGTGAAACAAAGCTGAGTAAGGGGGTGTTCAGGTGGGGTTGGTTTGCTTTGTTTATTTTTTTAAAAAGTTCTTCCTTGGCACACTGATTGAGAAGGAAGGAAAAAGGACTGTCTATGAATAGAGCACTGAAGACGGCTTCTTGACATAATTTTAGGAAAATGCTAATGGCTTTACATACTGTTTTCTACTAGCTCCCAACATATATCTAAGCTTACCAGTAACCGGAGCAGTTGCGATCACAGAGGTACTTTCAGGAAGAAGAATGAACTAGTATCTTATTGTTCAGGTCCAGAAATACAGTTTGTAATCCTGTTGCCAGCAGACATCAGAAATAGTCTCTCTCAAGCCACTTACATTCTCTGCTATGATCTCTTCCATATGTAGACTTTGACCAATAAACAAACTCACTTTCAGTGACTTCTAAGCTATTAATTTCTCAAATATTTTGGTACGGCCCATGCCAACTGATAAGTATACAGCAAACTGAAATCATACAGCAAGTACAACCAAATTTGTCACAATAACTTGTTAAAATTACTTGAATGCAGGCATATCTAGGCCTTCATTTCAAATGCAGTTGTGATTTATGTGATGTAAACAAACCAGACTGAAACTGTCTCAGCTCATAACCTTTACAAATGGCCATTATGAAATGCTGACGCGAAACCTCGATCAAAATAGACTGAACTTCAAAAGCCCACCTAGAAGCCAAAGGTCTCAGTCCTTAGGTATGTGATTTTAAAGTACCTTCAGCATAAAAACAGATTAAGATTCCTAATTCAGCAGTATCACAACAGAAGGATATAATTCTGATAATGAGTCGACAGCTCAGCAACAAAGTTGTCCTGTAGAACTTGTGCTCCAAAGCGTAGGTAGAGTATAACAATGCTGTGGAAAAAAGTCAAGAGCATGTGAGTGTACTGTGTCTTTAAAGCACAAAGTTGAAAGGGGAGCTGAAAAGTATATCAGAAAACAATTAAGTTAATCTGCTGACCATTTAAGATACATTTGCTCTCATAATTCTAAATTAAGAATGATTCTTTTGCCATTAAAAGTCAGCAGTCAACTGAGTAAAGTGGACCCCGTCCCCCCTTGGTCCCTTTCCCTCAGATTTCATCCACTACAGACAATACAAGAGTCAACAGTAATTTGACATAAAGGATTGGAGTGGGGGAGACAGATATTAACAATAACCTAATTCTAAACTTCTGCTTTGACTGGGTGAAGTTCACAAAGCTCCAAAAGAGGTGAATGGTGCACTGCTGACCAGCCTGCAGTACAGAAAACACCTCTGCTAAGAGAACCTCTAAATCTTGCAGTGTATTGCTGTGGTAACAGAAATGATATAAATTTAGTTCTAAAAGCCTTAGGAAGGGTTAAAAAATTAAGAAGAGCTTGCCACAACAATCATATCAAAAGACATTCCTCATTTTTACTGGCAATTTTATTATCAACAAAGTGTATTCAAAGCCCTGAAAAAAAGGTTCTAAAGTTACAATACTGAGAAATGTACTTTAAAAAGCCTTACCTAATGACAAGCACTACAAAGGTTAACGCGGTCAAGAATTTTAACCTGAGATCTGAAAAAGATTGAGAAAAGTTGTTATTAGTGAACTTATACCTCCATCTAGGATAAGCAAGCCTGTTTGGGGAAGAACCAAAAGAAATAATCCTTACCAACATAAGGCATGTTACGAAGTTCTGAACATGCCCTCACTATCAGGAACAAAAGGTAGAGAATGTATGTGGTTGCCACCACAAGGAAGAAGATTTTCATTCCCTATAAGAAGAGTGATAGTTTTTATTATTTAACGAGGTTTGGTCTATTCCTCCTTCTCTCAATAGAAATCATTATTTCCCAAAGCACAACACAGAACGGTCCATTTAGTCAGGGAGAGTAGGCTCACAAAAGGAAGTACAAAATAAGGATGGCTATACATCAAGGTAGGTTTTTGGGGCATGTAAAGAAAGGATGTTTAACAGGAATCATCATTTTGTCACTGAGTTCACACTGAGCTGAATCTCAATGGTTTTCTAAAAACTGAGCTCCTGAGAACAAAACAAGGACCCATATAAATCAGATCTTCCTTTAAAACAAGGAAGTCTGACATTTACTAGGACAGAGAATCTTGGCAGGAATAAGGATGTACAAAACTGACTTAGTAAGAGGCTTAAAAAAGTTCCTTTCAATCCCAACAGTCATAAGTCTGTGACTAAACTTGTGGTGTTGAGTACCCAGATTTGCAAGACAATTTACTTTTCTCATTGGGATGGGGCTCATTATGGTCTACGCATGATCTAAAGCAAAATTAAAAGTACCTTAGTCAGAATAAGACCATGTGACCAGCATTCGCTATTTCCTAAACCGTTATCGATTTTAATAGAAGAAACCCCATCTCCTTGTAACTCCACCTGACAATTTAATAGCAAGAAGACATTTCTGACTTACCTGGAAATTACCAGTGTCAACCCTGTATTGATATGTAGGATCACGTACTTCATTAACACTACAAAAGATTCAAAATGAAAAAGCGGTACTTAGAGCCTTAGACAAGACAAGGTCGAAAAGCTGTACTGACCAAGAAACCCACTAACAAAGAAAAGGTTTAAAGTTATGATGCAGAGTTTATAACTAAAGGTTTTGACTGTATAAATGGGTGCAATGACATTGATGACAGCAATTTACATTACATAACATCCTCCCTCTTTCCAAACCAAATTTTCAAGGAATAAGGGGGATTTCAGTTGTGAGCATGTCTGATTTTCCCACTTATCTTTTAGAAAAGATATGAACTTGTAAATTCCTACAAGCCTTCAGGATTTAGTATTTAAATTTATCCTTTGTGATAGAATTATACGTAAGAAATAAGTGGTATAAGCCCTTCCCTCATAGCAATTCTGCCGATACGGCATTAGCACGAGTATTTCCTGCAACTGCACTGCTTTCAACAGTGTACAACGGAATGGAGAAGGTTAGAAGGTATCTTCCTTCTGAGAAACAAAATAAGAGGCAAACACTTGAGACTAAAAAACTGAGCATGTTTTCTGGATGGGGAATAGCGACACCTTTACGTTAACACAACATTTTGGAAAAAAGAGATAAACACTAAACCAAGCAAAAGAACTGAGTCTGAAGGAGAGACTCCAAATCATAATTCCCTGGTTAATCTGTGCTGAGGGAGCCTCCAGGATCCCATCTGTATGTAATTAAGCAAATTTAAATAAGTGTAAGAAAATGGTACAGTTAGTCATTTGCTAGAAGGAAAAGAAAACCAAGATACAATATAAAGATATAAAACTTTATTATGAACATATTTAACAATGATTATGCACATGAAGTCTTCCAAGAAGCTCATTATCCAACTTTTGCTTGAAGTAAAATATTGGTTTTTTCCTTCATATTCCATAATAGCATGAAGTTTTCCGACATAAATGGATAATTTGCTGTCATTAACACAACTTCTAGACACATAGAATATTTAACACGTCCTCATGCACACTTTCTCAAAGCAGCATTTAATTACAGCTTCTCATTAAACAGAGCGCTTATCTTACACATTTTTATACCATTTTGGTACACAATTTTTCCATATTTTTCATTTTACATATTTACAAACTTCTAAAAAAAAAAAATTGTACAGTGATGCAAAGGTTATTACTGGCATAAGCAAAAGGAAATGGGGGGGAAATTAGGTGACTATGGATATGAAGTTGTCTTTTGGCTCAGAGAAAGACAATGGATCAAAGCCTTTCCTCGCCGGAATGGCCTTCCAATTTTCCCCAGTATTAATGCCACGGGTTGGTTGCACTCACTGGTCCTTACTGGTGTTAAGCCTTATGCTTCCTATTCTTTGCCAGTGCCAGGAGAGGTTCCAGCCAACTCCAACTGTTTTTAAAGCAAATACTACAAAAAATGGTTGCCACAAATGGCTCACACTCAATGATTATTGATTTCTTACAAGTCCCTCTTGATCACTGTGTACATGGAAGTCTTGCAGTTATTTAATAGGCATCTCCTCTAGAGCAGAACACTATGTTGTGGGGCTTTTGCGTACTTTTCTCATTTTATACAGTTCCATTAGTGAAGGAAATAATTAATTCCCTTAGCAGTAACGAAAGGGAAGCCAGGCTGCTTTCACCCGTAGCTTACAGTGCTTCACTCAGGTGAATTTATGCCACCTACTCCCAACCTGTTCACAGTCCGAATTGTAACATTCCTCAAATACTGTCTCTGCTTTCCAGTTGTGGAAATAAGTGAAAATGAGATTTTCTTACCAGCAGAGCAATTTCTTCATCTGCTTCACTGCTTTTGCCTTTTTACTGTATATTGAATTTGATGCGATGGTGCTTCAGCCAAGCTTATCATTACACTCCAGCACTTTCGCAACACAAAACTATTTCACATGGCAAACCTGGCTTAAATATAATCTAAAAATTAACAAAGAAACTATTTTCTCACTATTTTCATAGTGAGATATTTCTGTTAAGTACACATTTCCCATTCTCAGCTTTCCTGTTTCCGCTTTGAATGTTGTGATGTAGGAAAGTTAATGCAAACAAAATGGCAAGTGAAATGGGCTGAGAACAATTTAGAAAAAATCATCATCTCAAAGTTAGATTAAAAATATTTTCTTTAGCTACTGAAATCCCAAAGCATGACACTGTGTTTGAGGGTTAACTGTAACAACCAGTTCAGATGTGATAAGAAACATGAGTACATTTTGCACATCGGTCAGATCAAACATTTTTTCCCTTCAGAACAATTTACATCAGAAATAAACAATATCAGAGCCAAAAAGATCTGAATATATAAGAACCGTGTAAATATCGAATTCTGAAGACCTGATTCCTGCCACCCACTGTTACTCCAGTGAAAGTTGAAAGGACTTTGCAAATTCAAACAGCGGTAAGCCTCATAGTAAAAATGAGAATGGGCTCGTTTTAGGATACAAAGATATCCCCCATACTTGGAGGTGCTGAAGGTACAGCTTACTGTAGTTCACGGGGGAAAAAACAAAAACCAACACACCACTAACCTGAAATACTTCTTTAATGTCTTCGTATATGGTGTTCTAAACTGACACTAATTAATTAAGAAATTAAAGGAAAAAACCTTCCCCTCCCCTGAGCAGTTTCCTTGGTTTAGCCATAGAATAGTGCTTTGGCTTCTAACAAATAAATGGTCCCCAGTACAGAAAGTTTTAAATTTCAAATATCCTCCAAAAATTTCACAGCTCTACATAATTTTAGGAAGTTTTCTCCCTCACACACGCGGAGTGTCTCACCACCCCCATCTTTAGCAGAGCACCGAGTTAATCATTTAATCTGAACTATTTTCTGACACGAAGCAGTTCCTTTGGTCCTCTCTAAACAAACTGCTCTCCTGTGAAGTCTCCCTTTCGTGATCTCCAGCAGCCACCAGGAGAGGTTACTGCAGTGGGAATGCTCCACAGCAGTCCTCGCATCAAAGCGGAACAAATCTATTTTTTCCCTAATACCATTCAGCAAATCAATCAAGTAGGACTTCATTGCACTCTTCTGCTTAAACTAGTTCAGTGAGGAGTACAATTCCCTAGTGTAAGCCAGCACCAGCTTCTGTCTAAGACATTAACAGTACTTTTGAGAGTCTTCTCTACAGCAGCAGGGCAGGGAAATGGTACAAGAGTCAATCACAGTCACAAAAAAAAAAAAAGATACTTTCAGACAGGTCAAGTACTTGAAAACAAAATTAATTAGAAACAAAACATCCTCTTAAATAAAGAGCTGAGCAACGGTGCAGGAGAAACCCAACTTTTAAATAGAGAAGCAGCAGCATTGTACCAGGAATACTGAATTCCCATAAAACTCTGCTCCAGCACAGACTGGAACACAGATAATAAAATGTCCTGGAAGTTCTGACGGGTACAAGTGGCGCCTGTGGTTATGACAAAGAAGTTGAACCATGGCTAGAACATGCCCAAAAGCCAACTCTCACACATGTTCAATACATGAACAACTGTTCCTAGGATGTAGAATAACTATTAATACACCTTAAGAAAAAAATCTGATGTAGAAAAAGCCTCTAAAAATGAAATGTTTGGAAATTTTAAATTAATCTCTGTGAAACTTTCACACTGTATTCTCTGCAAGTGTAACAATCTCCTCCAGCACACAAAAGCCCAGAAAGAAGAGTACTGGCTTCCTTCTGAGGTTTGTTGTTGCCTAAATATTTCTATTTAAAAGGGCTGTTTAAAAAAAAAAAAAAGGCAAAACAAACCCAAAGGCTTCTGTTGTGGCGGTAAAGCATGTTATGAAACATGTATTATACAGATCATTTTGCACCACTGAGGCTATTTTGGCTCACTAGAACTTGACTATTTGCACGTATCTCACACTAACAAATCTGGTAAACTTAAATGAATTTTTAAAATATTCTTAAGTCTGTATCACTTCTTTGAATGAAGAATGGAAAGTTTGTGTTTTTCTTGCATTTAAAAAAAAAAAAAAGGAAAGAGAGAGAGAAAACCATAAACCATTTCATTCCCTGCTTCCAGCTCAATAGACTAAGGTAGAAAATTGAAAGGGAAATGAGGCACTTGGTACAGCAGTGGGCAATCCACAAAGGAGCTAACACAAATGCAACAGATGAATGACAATATGCTGGACATAACCCTCAGAACAACCCACCAGAAAACCAAGGAAGCAATTTTAAAATCAGCATATAATCAGTGATACTTCTAAATGGAAATAGGTTTCAAGATTTTAGTCCATAGACATCCTTCTATCAGGCATTTTATAAGATGCATAAAAATTTTGGTTTCTTATGTTTTCACCACAACCTTTTCAAGCATTGGGGTTTTTTTCAGTTTTAACTTTGTAAACAGAAACAGAAGCAGGATGTCCTTCCTGGGAGTCGGTGTTGAGATGTCAGCAGACTAAGAAAGCCAAGGAAGTTGTACATCTAGGAAAACTTCAGGATTGGTGTAATTCCACCTGATTGGTGTAATTCCACCTGAACAAGTCTGTCTACAGCAAAATCAATCACTGTCCGATTCCTCTTTATACTTGGCTCTAATAGCTTGGCCATTCTGAAGTGGCATTTCTTCATAGTCACTCCTGTGAAACAGATACTTGTTAAAAACTCTGAACACAGTGTTTAGATAGGAAGTCCAAAATAAACAGGGAAGTTCTAAACTGCATCAAATTGTTATTTGGGTAAGCAGCTGGTTATCTGTTTTGCTTCCTTGTGGTAGATATGAACAATATATTGACTTTTTTCCAGAAGACAATGCATAATAAAAGTTATTCCAGTGACTACAAGCCGCTCTTTGCAAGGGTTCACCTAGAAGCAAGCTGGTACTACTGCTACTCATCTAACTAGTGAAAGGCAAGCTCCCTCAGACAATGGCTACAGCTACAGCACAATCTTGTTCAGGTGACTGCAGCACTAACCCCACCCTCCCTGCTCCAACCATGTCCCTGTCCTTGGGGAGAGGTGCAAACAGCGAGGGCAGACGAGGAGTTTGTTCAGTGTCTCTGCAGAGACACCTGATGGGGATGGGTTTTCAGCACTACTATAATTCTCATGTTATATAAACTCGCAGAAGTCCAGGAAATTTGGCTAGATTTGATTCTTATTCCATTAAGTGATGGATGCTTAAGGAGAGCCATTCTCCTTCTCTAAAGCATTTACGTATGAGCTGCTGCTTTGGTAACTCCACCTGACTCCCGCAATCTTTCCCAGTTAAAAAGGGAGTTCTTCCATTTCACATCTCACACAGCCCTCACTCCACGACCTGCCAGCACTCTAATTTAAAAAAATTTACAAACCTAATTACCTGTTTGTATCAGTGCCATGGCAATCCCTTTTAGAAACCAAAAAAAGAAGAAACAAAATAACATGCATTCTCATTGCATTGCTGTTTCAGAACATGGCTACCTTTCTGTTCTTTAGGCAAAATACTTTCATTAGCAACCTGCAAACTCTTCACTTATTTAACAAACAAAGAACATTACAAAAATAACACACTAAAGTAACTCTCCATAAGTAGTTTATAATCTTACCCATAAATCACATCATCATCTGAATCATTCAGCATTGAAAAAGCAGGATTGTCTTTCAACTGTGATTCTGGAAAATACAAACAGGGGTTAATTTAGCGCATTAAGTACAGAGATGTGGCTGTACTTCCAACCCAACACCGGAGCAACAGCCTTGACCACTTCCAAGACAACTACAATTCAACAAAACTATATCCAAACAGGAATTCTCTCCTTTAAATTCTTCACCCTTTAGCCATAATGTCATGGTATTTGTAAGAGTTAAGGAGATGACGTAACTATCTAATCTTATTTTTAGATAGATATTCTCCATGTTGCATAAGCGGATTTCCTCCCTTGTGCAGTTCCCTATGTCATATTATTTCAACGTGCACATAACAGTTAATTATGTCAGACTTCATTATTTTTAATCATTATTGAAAAGTTCATATGTATTTAAAAAGCACAGACCTCATTAACTTCTTGGTTATTTCTAAACTACAAATATAAGTCAACCGCAGTTGTAATCCCTTGCATGCAAGTCCATGATTAGCCGGTTATTTTTCATCCTTGTGCCTTACGGCGAGACGAGAGGAAGCACATACTTTCCATTGGCTGTTTAAGACAATTCCCTCTACCTTGTTTTAAGGCCTTCATTTCCTGCATAATCCGCTGTTGAGCTGCAGTTCCTAATTATCTGCAAGTAAAATTCAATCCAGGAATTTGCTATAAACATCTTTTTCCTGGCAGCTTTCTACTTTTCGCCTTCTATAAACTAATACTTCTTGCAATCCAACAGCAAGTTTTTTAACCTTATCCTCACCCAGGCATTTCTCTTGTCTTTCTTAAAGCTTTTTTTTTCTGTAAAAATTCCATCCATCTCTACTCTAAAATGTTTAGGGAAAGGACCGGCTCCAGTATTTAGTGCCTTTCCCCTGCACATGCAGTGTGCAAGATGTGACTGGACAGGGTGCCAGATCATCTTGTCTAGGCTCCCTTTCCCATGAAAGGTTGGACCAGAAGATCTTTCCAGGTCCCTTCCAACTCGGTTCTGTATTTTATACTCAATGCTTAAGTGGAGTCTAAAACGCTCAGTATAAAAATTTCTTCTACAGAATCTTTATCTGTTAGAGCGGGATAATGCTTTATAATCATCATGTGAGTCAGATTACATCCTCTACGTAGGAACGCAAAAACAGAAGTGCCACTGATTAAGTCCTTTATCTCTCTGTACATGGGCTCTGTGCAGCTCTCCCCCCACAGCAAGATCCCCAAAACCTCCCCATGTTAGAGACCAGCTTCACTCCTACTTTTCCAACAGTGTTCCCTATTTCAGAGTGCAGTGTGCCCGCGTGCCAACACATCAGCCTCATTGTTAAAACAAAGTAGAAATGAAGTATTGTTGCTCCTTAAGGACTGTCTGTGAGGCAGTGCAAAAGTTAGAGCATTATGTGCACACATCATATTGATTATAAGCTTGATTAAGAATTCAAGTCTAGCTAATTAGCTGCATACATTTTATGTCTTCCTTCATATTTTCAGTACTAATTTGCTCAGGGACAGTGCAACTTCTGCTTATGTTAACTCAAAGCAAATTGCAACAGTATTGAAACAACCAAAATACAAATGCCAGCTCTTGCCATATAAGTTTACCAGACAATTGCTTCCCACTTACCATATAGTGCATTCTTTGAGGGGGAATACACGAAGGCTAATGTGTAGAGATAAAAGTTCAATAAACCATAAAATGATAGGAATTCTGCTGGTATTAAGTGTCAAGGATATTGCTCAATATAGTTCCACACATATTAACTTTGGATACAAGACCTAAACCATACAAATCTGTTTCAATGGAAAGAATGTTTACCTTACTAAAGTTTGAGACCCTAAATGGCTGAACAAATCGCTATGTTTTAAATTTAAAGACAACAAATGTACTCAAGCTGTTTCAAGGTAAAGCTCCCACTGAAGACAAAGCTTTAGCTTAAACACAAGTAACATTTGCTGAGGTAAGGTTTTCTCTGGAGTGTAGGAGTACATAGTAAATTGAACTAAATCAATTTAGTTGAATCAGTTTAGAGCACTGAAGCTCTGCCTTCAATGGTGAAACAAAGCTGAGTAAGGGGGTGTTCAGGTGGGGTTGGTTTGCTTTGTTTATTTTTTTAAAAAGTTCTTCCTTGGCACACTGATTGAGAAGGAAGGAAAAAGGACTGTCTATGAATAGAGCACTGAAGACGGCTTCTTGACATAATTTTAGGAAAATGCTAATGGCTTTACATACTGTTTTCTACTAGCTCCCAACATATATCTAAGCTTACCAGTAACCGGAGCAGTTGCGATCACAGAGGTACTTTCAGGAAGAAGAATGAACTAGTATCTTATTGTTCAGGTCCAGAAATACAGTTTGTAATCCTGTTGCCAGCAGACATCAGAAATAGTCTCTCTCAAGCCACTTACATTCTCTGCTATGATCTCTTCCATATGTAGACTTTGACCAATAAACAAACTCACTTTCAGTGACTTCTAAGCTATTAATTTCTCAAATATTTTGGTACGGCCCATGCCAACTGATAAGTATACAGCAAACTGAAATCATACAGCAAGTACAACCAAATTTGTCACAATAACTTGTTAAAATTACTTGAATGCAGGCATATCTAGGCCTTCATTTCAAATGCAGTTGTGATTTATGTGATGTAAACAAACCAGACTGAAACTGTCTCAGCTCATAACCTTTACAAATGGCCATTATGAAATGCTGACGCGAAACCTCGATCAAAATAGACTGAACTTCAAAAGCCCACCTAGAAGCCAAAGGTCTCAGTCCTTAGGTATGTGATTTTAAAGTACCTTCAGCATAAAAACAGATTAAGATTCCTAATTCAGCAGTATCACAACAGAAGGATATAATTCTGATAATGAGTCGACAGCTCAGCAACAAAGTTGTCCTGTAGAACTTGTGCTCCAAAGCGTAGGTAGAGTATAACAATGCTGTGGAAAAAAGTCAAGAGCATGTGAGTGTACTGTGTCTTTAAAGCACAAAGTTGAAAGGGGAGCTGAAAAGTATATCAGAAAACAATTAAGTTAATCTGCTGACCATTTAAGATACATTTGCTCTCATAATTCTAAATTAAGAATGATTCTTTTGCCATTAAAAGTCAGCAGTCAACTGAGTAAAGTGGACCCCGTCCCCCCTTGGTCCCTTTCCCTCAGATTTCATCCACTACAGACAATACAAGAGTCAACAGTAATTTGACATAAAGGATTGGAGTGGGGGAGACAGATATTAACAATAACCTAATTCTAAACTTCTGCTTTGACTGGGTGAAGTTCACAAAGCTCCAAAAGAGGTGAATGGTGCACTGCTGACCAGCCTGCAGTACAGAAAACACCTCTGCTAAGAGAACCTCTAAATCTTGCAGTGTATTGCTGTGGTAACAGAAATGATATAAATTTAGTTCTAAAAGCCTTAGGAAGGGTTAAAAAATTAAGAAGAGCTTGCCACAACAATCATATCAAAAGACATTCCTCATTTTTACTGGCAATTTTATTATCAACAAAGTGTATTCAAAGCCCTGAAAAAAAGGTTCTAAAGTTACAATACTGAGAAATGTACTTTAAAAAGCCTTACCTAATGACAAGCACTACAAAGGTTAACGCGGTCAAGAATTTTAACCTGAGATCTGAAAAAGATTGAGAAAAGTTGTTATTAGTGAACTTATACCTCCATCTAGGATAAGCAAGCCTGTTTGGGGAAGAACCAAAAGAAATAATCCTTACCAACATAAGGCATGTTACGAAGTTCTGAACATGCCCTCACTATCAGGAACAAAAGGTAGAGAATGTATGTGGTTGCCACCACAAGGAAGAAGATTTTCATTCCCTATAAGAAGAGTGATAGTTTTTATTATTTAACGAGGTTTGGTCTATTCCTCCTTCTCTCAATAGAAATCATTATTTCCCAAAGCACAACACAGAACGGTCCATTTAGTCAGGGAGAGTAGGCTCACAAAAGGAAGTACAAAATAAGGATGGCTATACATCAAGGTAGGTTTTTGGGGCATGTAAAGAAAGGATGTTTAACAGGAATCATCATTTTGTCACTGAGTTCACACTGAGCTGAATCTCAATGGTTTTCTAAAAACTGAGCTCCTGAGAACAAAACAAGGACCCATATAAATCAGATCTTCCTTTAAAACAAGGAAGTCTGACATTTACTAGGACAGAGAATCTTGGCAGGAATAAGGATGTACAAAACTGACTTAGTAAGAGGCTTAAAAAAGTTCCTTTCAATCCCAACAGTCATAAGTCTGTGACTAAACTTGTGGTGTTGAGTACCCAGATTTGCAAGACAATTTACTTTTCTCATTGGGATGGGGCTCATTATGGTCTACGCATGATCTAAAGCAAAATTAAAAGTACCTTAGTCAGAATAAGACCATGTGACCAGCATTCGCTATTTCCTAAACCGTTATCGATTTTAATAGAAGAAACCCCATCTCCTTGTAACTCCACCTGACAATTGAATAGCAAGAAGACATTTCTGACTTACCTGGAAATTACCAGTGTCAACCCTGTATTGATATGTAGGATCACGTACTTCATTAACACTACAAAAGATTCAAAATGAAAAAGCGGTACTTAGAGCCTTAGACAAGACAAGGTCGAAAAGCTGTACTGACCAAGAAACCCACTAACAAAGAAAAGGTTTAAAGTTATGATGCAGAGTTTATAACTAAAGGTTTTGACTATAAATTGGTGCAATGACATTGATTCCAATGGAGTCACGGCAATTTACATTACATGACATCCTCCCTCTTTCCAAACCAAATTTTCAAGGAATAAGGGGGATTTCAGTTGTGAGCATGTCTGATTTTCCCACTTATCTTTTAGAAAAGATATGAACTTGTAAATTCGTACAAGCCTCCAGGATTTAGTATTTAAATTTATCCTTTGTGATAGAATTATACGTAAGAAATAAGTGGTATAAGCCCTTCCCTCATAGCAATTCTGCCGATACGGCATTAGCACGAGTATTTCCTGCAACTGCACTGCTTTCAACAGTGTACAACGGAATGGAGAAGGTTAGAAGGTATCTTCCTTCTGAGAAACAAAATAAGAGGCAAACACTTGAGACTAAAAAATTGAGCATGTTTTCTGGATGGGGAATAGCGACACCTTTACGTTAACACAACATTTTGGAAAAAAGAGATAAACACTAAACCAAGCAAAAGAACTGAGTCTGAAGGAGAGATAACATAGCTTGACCAAGCAGTGGCAGGTTTAATAGTTGGGAAAGTTTGGTCCAGCTGTGTAACAGCTAACTACAGACCTAGCACTAGAGGCAGTATTTTAGGGAGCCATGACATACTGACAAAGTAGTGATTTCTAGAGCTCGCTCTGATCTACAAAATTATGTACTACTAGATGGTCCATGGGGAATTCCGTGTTCAAATCAGTCATGGTTTGCAAAAAAAAAAAAGATGTAAGAATTTTAACTCCATTCCTATATCATAATCAGGGCATTAAGAAACACATATCACTAATTATAAACAATCTTCTCATTCTTGAACACTCTCAGGTTGTTATTTTTGCACTAAACTTTAAATTACTTACGTTTGCCATATCCCCAGTGTAACAGAGGCCAGCCACAATAGTCCAACAATAAAGAATTTGGGCAGATAGAAAGTTAAGCACTTCCTTTCTCCCTGTTGAGAAACAATAGCGTGATGAAGCACTGAACCCACATTTGAGATTTCATTCGTTCTTGACAGAATAAAATAACTATCATCTTTGTTTCACTTAACTTGAACTACATTAAGAGACTCACCTGTATTTTTAACCTGCACAGGTGATTACAGAAGACATAAACTATAGGAATATGCTCCAGAATTCATATTTATCTTATGCAGTATTTTAAAGTGGTTTAAAAAGCAATCAGCTACCATATACAACAACAAAACCCATCAAGAAAGAACAAAGCATAATGACAGTATTTTAAAGTGGTTTAAAAAGCAATCAGCTACCATATACAACAACAAAAAAAAACGTCAAGAAAGAACAAAGGATAATGGCATCATAATTCTGAAGACTCTCTTGCAATAGTTTAGACTCCAAAGCTTCACGTATCACATTGTACTTTCAGTTCTGAAGACTCTCTTGCAATAGTTTAGACTGGATTGTCCCATCTATCTCATGTAGGCATGGGAGCCTCAAGACAATCTACTTTACCACATATATTTTTAACTCCAAAGCTTCATGTATCACGTTGTACTTTCAGAATAAAATAAAATAAAATAAAATAAATGTCTCTTTTTAAAAAATTTGGTTATGTTTTTGTCACCTTTTGAGAGAACTGAAAAAACAAGTATTGCCTTCTCAGTAAGTAGTAGGTAATGTCACACCCTTACCTGTACTCTTATGCCATGGTAGACGCAAAGCCAGAACAGCAACAGTGCACACAGAAACAGCGACTGGAATAGATCATCCAGCATTCCAGGAAACCAACTGTTCACCAGAAAAGAAAGGGGGAAAAATGGATCTGTAACAAAATAAGAAAAAAAAAAAAAAGTTAAACTGAGGGCAAAAAGCACAGTCTTTTAAAAAAAAAAAAAAAAAAGTCAAACAGAGGGGAAAAAGCACAGTCTTTTCCATTACGAAAAGTAAAGCAGTTTATCGTCAGAGGAACAAAAAATCCTAGATTTTTCAAATTACACCAGTAAATGAAATTGAAGTTTGCTGTATCTAAAAGTAATTTACAAAGAAAATGGTGATTCCAGCAGCACTCCTCTGTGCTGTAGAACTAATCTGAAATGGTTGCCAACATTTCTAGAAGATTTCAGGTTTTATTAACTTTCTACTAAACCACTGTTCTTGGTGATGACCTAAAAAATTATCATAGAATGACTGAAAGGCAAATGTTCCTTAGGTACTGCTAGAGAGCGCTAGCATTTGATGTGGTTCACCAGACTAAAAGTAGCCTCCATTTTTAACTAAAGTGCAATTATCTGAAAAATGAAGAAGACTTAGCAGACAAACACAGAAATTGCATTTACATGTCACTATATGAAAGGTTCACTGTTTGCAGCCATGTATTCCAATCAGAGCTTTAAACAAATAGAGATGACATTCACATCACTGAAAAGAATAAAATCCATCTACTCATTATGGCCTTGAATTTGATACACTTAAAAAGAGTTGGTTGGTTGTTTTTTTAAATAAGGTTTTTTTGCCTTCTCACTCTCTTTTTTTTTTTTAAATAAGGTTTTTTTGCCTTCTCACCCTCTCTCTCTTTTTTCCTGTATCTAAAAGTAATTTACAAAGAAAATGGTGATTCCAGCAGCACTCCTCTGTGCTGTAGAACTAATCTGAAATGGTTGCCAACATTTCTAGAAGATTTCAGGTTTTATTAACTTTCTACTAAACCACTGTTCTTGGTGATGACCTAAAAAATTATCATAGAATGACTGAAAGGCAAATGTTCCTTAGGTACTGCTAGAGAGCGCTAGCATTTGATGTGGTTCACCAGACTAAAAGTAGCCTCCATTTTTAACTAAAGTGCAATTATCTGAAAAATGAAGAAGACTTAGCAGACAAACACAGAAATTGCATTTACATGTCACTATATGAAAGGTTCACTGTTTGCAGCCATGTATTCCAATCAGAGCTTTAAACAAATAGAGATGACATTCACATCACTGAAAAGAATAAAATCCATCTACTCATTATGGCCTTGAATTTGATACACTTAAAAAGAGTTGGTTGGTTGATTTTTTTAAATAAGGTTTTTTTGCCTTCTCACTCTCTTTTTTCATTTTTTTTCTTTCCTTTTTTTTTTTTTAAAAAAGGAGCTTTTCTAAAAATTCCAGGATACAATTACCATTGTAAAGTAGCAGGAGGGGAAGGAGGATGGACATCCATTTCTGTTCAATACCCCAATCTCTCATGGAGAATTTCCGCAAGGAATGTGCAAACAGACACTATATAAAACAATAATAACAAAAATTTGTAAGGAAGGCAGACAGCTTTAATGGTTTTACCAGAGTAAAGAGATAACACAGCCCACTGCAAAGGCAACTTCATGAGGTCTTTGCCACTGAGGACATTGTCAAACAGGAGCCACATCTCCTGGCTTCTACTTCTGCTTCAAGTTTGCTGGTTTACCTCAATGCAAATTTGTTAATCTCAAGCAAACTGAGAAGGAAACCAGCTAGTACAGAGCAAATCAACAATGGATGAAAAAATCCTGCCTAATTACTGGTCACACACTACCAAAAAATTCCACTTAAACTCACTTTTTAAAACAAGATTCCATATCACATTCACAGTTACCTGCTGAGTGACATCATCTATGTGAGAAAAATGCCGTGCAAGTGTTCAGTGCTTTAGTGTCCTTACTTGGAAAATGCTGTATTTTAAGATTTTAACTTATTTGTTTGGTTTTTTCCAAATACTTCTTTTCCAGGGGCCAAACCAGGTCTGAGGGGAGAGATAATCTACATGGTAGCATAATTTAGGTTGTAAGGGACCTCTGGAGGTCATTCGGCCCATCCTCACACTCAAGACAGTGACGACTTTAAAGTTAGATCAAGGTCATATTCAACTGAGTTTTGCTCATTTTCAGAGATGGAGAACCCACACTCTGGGCATCCTGTTCCAATGTCTGACCCTACCTCCACTGCAAAAAAATATTTTTTTCTAGCATCTAATCACAATTTCTTTTCTTTAAGCAAAATTCTTTTTGTTCAATACAAAATCAGTTCAGAAAAACAAGTTTTCCCATTTATCCTATTTTCTTAATGTCCCTTCAATATTACTTGTAAAAATATAAAAGCAGCAACTACATAAGTATTTTAGAAACATTTTTTACACCCATTAAGTGATATCTCAGCTCTGCTGCCTGGGGTTAAGTTACTGAACACAGCACTACAGAGCACTGTTATCAGCTGCCTACACAATATGCTCCAGAAAAACTGAAACAAAAATCTTACCGTGACCATAAAAGTAAGAACTACAAAGACAAATCGGAACCATATTTCCACTTGCGAAAACGTTGGATTGTAGGTCTTCCACTACAACAAACAGAAGAAAAACAGCCCAATGAACTATATTTTGACTATAAATGTTCCAACACTTGATCCTTTTTGAAATCTGGAACTAAGCAAAGGGGTTGTAAGTTTGCGGTTTTTTTCCCCTTAGAGCTAATTTTTAGTGATGTACTTTATGCACTACAATATTACAAATACTAATATTCAGGACAGTCATTTAATATATAAAACCCCTTTTCCTTTACAGTAAGATTTTTTGCTTGCTACCTGCTCTGATGTTGTATACAGGTAGAACATATCATAACAAACTTTTTATAAATTTGGTTTAGTGCCATTTTCTCCCAGTGCAAATGTTTCTAAATTCCTTTTTGGAGCCAATCAGCACACACTGGTGATGAAAGTGTTTCATAAGCAATCTTTAGCACTACGAACTGAGCTCATTATTTTAGCAGGGATTATCTTAGTGAATTATTTTATTAGCCTGCTTATTTTAGCTGAATTAACATTTTTTCGCTTACTCATAAGCACAGACCAAAAAAAATAATATCTTCATTTTCCTTTGAGTTTGTTAAATCTTTCTAGTCCATGCTTTTGTAAAGCCTGGAAAAATCTTGCTAATTCAGAGACACCTGCTGGAAAGACTGAAACAGATACCGTGCTTTAGAGAGGCAACATCTCTATAAGCAAATGCAGAAAACTGGATGTTCTAGTCTAGCTTGCCTACTGTTAAAAATATCTCCCAGGAATCAGACTAAATTTATCTGTTCTAGAAAACAACTTCAGCAGTTCTGAAAGAAAAATCTTTCCTTATAGAGTTAAAAAAAAATGGTCTAGACCTTTATTAACAGCAAATGCTATAATAGTTCTGATACTAGTAGTGACAGAAAAACTAGTTGCGATGCATCTTTATGTTTATCTTCTAAATGAGATAACTTTTTAATTACAGTTAAAGCAGAATTCTACAACATTAGTAATTAAGGAGATTTATTTTGCTAGCATAAGACTTTATACTTACTGTGAAAGTAATATTCTGGATGGTGTACGTTAACTTGTATAGATCTTCAAAGGTAACAAATATGTTGTACTGAGTGTAGTTCAGGTAGCCAAGGTGAGCAACAATGATTTCACTGCATTTCTGTGGACACATACAGTGAAGAATATAATATGTAAAATCCTTCAGTTTATTCCAGAACATGCACCGTTAGTATAGGTTGGAGAATTTGTTTCCAAATGGTCAGATATTGATGGTATTTATTATATGCTTTACTCATCTTGATCAGTCAGAATAAGACTCAAACAAGACCCACAGATAATTTCTTGAAAAATACCAGACAAAGCAGAAGAAACTGATAAAGTCAGTCAGCAGGATCAAAGGTTGAACTGATAAACAAGGTGAGGTTTTCACTTAAGCTGGTGAAAGCAACTGCTTGCAGCACCAGAAATGATCTGAATAACACTGTCAGTCAAGCTCTAGGTCATCAGATTGGAAGATGGGACTATGTTGTGTTAACTCATTTCTAAGAGTTAAAAGGGAAGAGAAAATCCAAGCATATTGCTCTCTTGGCTGTGTGTAATTAAATCTAATGGAACACTGTTCATTAATTTCTGCAAATATCATATATATGTGTCTACATATAAAAGAAAACATATGATTTACCCCATATGCTTATCACAAAAAACTTCAGCTATGCTCTTCCTAAAGGACTTGCACCTGGAGAAGCTGTTTTGGATGTCTCCAAGTTTAAAAAATTCAGTGCAAATTATACTAAAGACTCAAAGTCTTAAACATTTCTTCACAGATGGAAAGAAGTTTGGCTTTTTCAGAACACAGCTGCCAGCTGAGTTCAACCAGACTCTCTGCTAGGTGTTGGGGGAGAACTCTTCTCTCCCCTGGAGCCCTAGATCCAATCTTCTACTACAATATTCCTTGCTTCAGTGCTGCTAAACCTGTTTAGGTGGCTAAGCAGCACACACTGCTGTGCTGGCAGAGCACTACTCTAACAAGAAAGAGGGGGCTTTAAGGGTTAATAGACACAAGGCATAGGAGGAAACAGAAAAAGACAGGTAGGTAGGTATCTTGCTCAGCATTACTAGCTAGGTTGCAATTATAAATAAAACTATACTCCACAGTCCTTCTTGAGACGTGTTTAACAGATAGATTCTTCTCATTTGCAATGTAATGTAACATGGACACAAATAGATTTAAGGAAAATGTACTGCATCAGAGTTTTGTTTAAGCAGCCACATACTTGTGCACAGCTGAGTAATCTTGTCCGATTGTGAACTTGGTTATTAACATACGGTGTGCTTCCATCCTTCACCACTCCAAGTACTTTGACTATCATAGTAACATTCTTTTTGAGGGACACTGTAATTAAAAGAGAGAATATTAAGCTATTGCTACATGCAGAAATGAAATCTCAGGGTTCCAAATACAGTTTAAATACACATATCCAAAGATGACTCAAAGTCATTCAGTTATGCTTTACTGGAGTAGGGGTCCAGTATATTAATTAAAAACCACAAAACTTTTTATTTACACACTTAGGCAGTAAGTCACAAATGCCTTCTACTGAGTCTTGACAGATAAACAATTACTAATACAGTATTTCTGACATGCTTGCAGGAAATTTTTATTGAAAACTTAATATCATTACAACCTACACATCTAATTCCCCCCAAAATGAAGGAACAGAGACACACATTCTCTAGACACTACTGCTTTGATAGAAATAACAAATAACTTATTCCATACACCTGTTGCCTCCAGTTCTCAAGGTCAGCGCTCTCCATGTCTTTACTAGAGACAGGGCATGGAGGGGGAGAGACTGTGTCAGAGGAGAAACCCACCAACCACAGCCAGAAAGCAACAGGATCATGTACGTGACAGATGAAATTAAAGATACAACACACAATATACAGGTTGGTATAGCCGTTTCCTTAGAATTAGGTTAAGATTCTCACCATCTTGCTGATCCAACTCCACTACACAGGTCAGCCACAGCTGCTGATTGTAAGTAGATAGTGGTGGTGAACTTAAATTAAACGGTTTCAGCTGTGAAAAAGACCCACAAATTAGCACCAGCTGTTAATTCTGTTACATGATATATCTGCAGTTACAATGATGTTAATTATGTTTGTGACCCCTCATCTGCTAGACAGTTGTGAACCTGTTCGACTATAATTGTTAAAACAACAACTATTTTTCCACTAGGTTTCCTAAAAATTTTGTATTAATTTCAAAAGCTTGGAAGATATCATTAACAGATAAAAATCTATGTGCAGGAAAGACTTTTCTTATTTGATATAAAAATATGTTTTTAAAAAAACCACCCATAATACAGTTCCAATCCAAACATATATAGGTGACTAAAAGACCAAAAAAAAAAAATTAAAAATGAAACAACAAAATCTTTTTATAACTTACAAGGGAATCCTGTTAACACTCAAGTTTACTGTAGCAGACATTACTGCACAGAAGCATATAGAATTCTCTACCTTACCTGCTCACAAGAGACTACAAATTGCTGCTGAGCCACTCATGAAATAATACAGTGGTAGTAAAATATTGCATGTTCAGTTTCAAACTGGAAAGCACCACGTGACCAAGAAGTTTTCCAGTAAAAATCTAAGTACTTAAAATCATTTGTGGGAAGGAGGGGAATGTTTAACATCGCTGACAGCAAATAAAGCCATTCATGTAATGCAACAATATTTATTAACTCTTACCTTTAGGCTGTTATTTAACTCAGTTCTTGCTACAGAAGTTTCAATTACATTGGGACCTAGAGAATATATAAGAAGGAAAAAAGAAAACAATATTGAAGTATGTGTATTACTGATAAGCAATGATACAAATAGAGGATTTCAAAGGACTGTACGAAATATTTCCCTGCAAAGCAGGTAAATATTATCTCACTTTTCAGATGTTTAAGCTGAAGAGTACATCACTTAGACATTTCAATATCATTAATAAACTTGGCCTGAATGTTCTTTTAAGCATTTCAGGCATGGTATTTCTAAGCACGCTTAAATAAGGAAGCAAATTATAAATCAAGAAATCCATGTCAGAAGCCCCACGTGTGTATTCTGAACTCCTACAACAAACCACATGGTATTTTTCCCAAGCTAAACTGTGCACCGCAATCATGAAAGTACTCGGCTACAAAAAAGCTAGCTAAGCACCAGTGGCACTGCTGTTACAGCAACTTGAAGCTGAACAAGGGCTGCAGAAAACACCTGAAAAAACATCATATTTAATTGCACTATAAAGTTTCTTTAGCCAAACCGCTACAATTACCTAATTTACACAGAGCATAGTGTACACAATGCATCGTGCTCATGCATTGTACTAGGGCAAACACATCCCATTGTATTTGAGTGCATGATACTAAAGCCTTTTCATGTACACTTGCTTGTACAATCACAGTAACAGTAGTTTCTGGCTAGCACTGGATCTTCATCGCAGTGGTCTCTTTAAGCTGAAATACCCACGTGTTCATTTAGAAACAGTTCTCGGTCAGCTCTCAGATTGGGCCCGTTCTATAGAAACCTGGGACTATATTAACGTTATGTATATCATCACATAAATATAATTGAATAAACGTTCTATAAACAATTTCTCCTAAAACAGACAATCCATTTTGTCAATAGTGTTCCATGTCCAATTGTAGTGGGAGATGTTCAGCTCGCTGCCAGACTTTTCATGCAAGTTTAATTATAATATTAACCATCTTAGAGACTTCAAATGGAAAAATGAAGAATTTCATAGAATCACAGAGTCATAGAATGGTATGGGTTGGAAGGGACCTTAAAGATCATCCAGTTCCAACCCCCCTGCCCTGGGCAGGGACACCTCCCACCAGACCAGGTGGCTCCAAGCCCCATCCAGCCTGGCCTTGACCCCCTCCAGGGATGGGGCAGCCACAGCTTCTCTGGGCAACGTGTTCCAGTGTCTCACCCCCCTCACAGGAAAGAATTTCTTTCTGGTATCTAATTTCCATCTCCCCTCTTCCAATTTAAACCCGTTACCCTTTGTCCTATCACTACACTTCCTGACAAAGAGTCCCTCTCCAACTCTCCTGCAGCTCCCTTCAGATATTGAAAGGCCACTATAAGGTCTCCCCGGAGCCTTCTTTTCTCCAAGCTGAACAACCCCAGCTCTCTCAGCCTGTCCTTGTAGGGGAGGTGCTCCATCCCTCTGATCATCTTCATGGCCCTCCGCTGGACTCACTCCAACATGTCCATGTCCTGCTTATGTTGGGGTCAGAGCTGGACCCAGTACTCCACAGTCTCATGAGAGTGGAGTAGCAGGCAAGAATCACCTCCCTCAACCTGCTGGCCACACATATTAAAGGTTTTAAAAGCAACTGACCACAACAATGCTGTGGTCATATTATTAAAAAATTGTGATTAAATACCATTGTTATTGTTTTTCTTTTAGCCTTGCTCAGTTAACAGAATCACATCTGAAATCAAAGAACCATCCTAAGGTGGTGAAAACTAAAACTGCACAGGTACAGAAAATGAGCTCTGCACCTTGTCTCACCCCAAAGAAAACACAGACTCATTGTAATAAGGGAAAGAAAGTGAGTGTAACTTGGGAAAAAAATCCAAGTCTGTGCCTGTCTTGAGTTACAAGAACTGAAGAGCATCAGCCACCTCAGTCTTTTTTTTCTCAGTTTTCTCAGATGGGAAGAAAGACTTCTGCTAGGCTTCCCAAACTGCAAATAGAGATTTTGAGTATGTGCAATTGCTACTTCAAGTAGCACAGAAAATATGGATGTATATCCCACTTTTTCATTTACTTAGTGGGTTTGGTGAGTTTTGCTCAGACTGCACCCTTTAATGAGGGAGCACTCTATTGTTAGCGCCCCTCCCTCTATTCACAGGAAGCAAGGAGCTGTCAACAAAAGGCATGGAAAAACATCACAGTAAGTGTTCAGTGGGTCTCCTCCCAAGGTAAACAGCATTCTTTTAAAAATAATTAAGTTATAATTAACTGTGTTCATGCTTTGTCAACAAAACTATCCAGCAAACTAATCTTACAAAGACAAGAATCTCACAGCCATGCCAGTTCCTGAAGGGGATCTCAAGTGAGTCCCTGGGACCCCAGCAGGTTGCAGATGACCAAGAGTGACCTACAGCAGCCAAGTCCCCTGGACCAAAGACAACTACATCATCAGACAACTGCACACAGATGCAATGCAACACACCAACACAGCTCCCTTTCAGGTTCTGCTACCAATTAAGAATGAAATACTGAGTTTTCTCTTCCAGAGCACTGCTTTTTGCCTAGTCTTACAATAAAACAACTTTCTTGCATTTCTTGCAACCAGGTAGAATAAATACACAATTACAAATATGGTTCACTTTTAAAGCCAAATAGCCAAATGACACTAAATTAAGTAATTAATTTTTTTTTTTTTATCATTCATATGAAATACATTTTTGTATTTTAGTGCTCAAATAATGCCCTTCAGCATCCTTAGGCAAGTCACAGGAATACCAGTTGTTAACCTTTATGAACTGAAATCTGTTTGGACTTTAGACTGCTAAAATAAATCAAACAGCAGGAAAGAAGATTTTATTTCACAGACAAATTTTATTATTTAATGCTATTGTGAAGAATGTTCTGCCTACAAGGCACAGATGGGCACAAAAAGCCCAAACAGCTGTCTCCAATTAACCCCCCTTCTTTCCAAGGGAGGCAGGAGCAGATGAGTCCCAGGGTTCCAAGCTTGGGCAGCTCATCTCTTCTAAAGGAAGTGAAGGGCAGGACAGAAGTAGAGACAACCCTACAGACAGGTCACGGGGTGTCAGAGAGGCACAAAACACACTGGGTGACCTGGAAATAAGCAGTAAAGTGGGGGGAGGTGGTAATGTCCTTTAATAATTCTTACATGAGGGGTGGGTAATGAGTACAAGTCCCTCCCTTCCCCTCTCCCTGTCTGTCACTTCTGTGTTGACAAAGCTGTCCTGACAGCAGACTATTAAGTTATTAACACCGCAGTGATAGCATGCTGACTTCTTTTTAAAGTGCATTTTAGACCTGGAAAAGCTCTCTGGTATGAAATACAGAGGGCTCCCACGCTTTCCATCTGCCTAAAGACACTCTGCATCTTTGTTGATCAGACTTCCACAGATCTCTAGGATAAGTATCCAGGCACTAAGCGCTTACTCTGCCAGACCACGTCATGATTCCCACAAAGCTCTTTGAAACCAGAGATCTAAGCTCATATATATTCAATAACAGAAGTTCATATTTTTATATTACTACAATATTTTATATTTCTGTGGCATTTATCACCCAAACATTTAGAAGGCTTTACAAACAGTTATCAACTTCTTCACAGGAAATCAAGTATTAACATCACTATTTTACAGATTGAAATACAAAGAAGAAAATTAATGTAGCAGTCTGCTGAAAAAATGTGTTACAAGGAAGCTGATTTTGTTTTGCTTTACTGACTTTTCCTGCAAAGCAGTTGCAAATATCAAAACTATGTAGGTAATACTGCTATAAAAAAACGGGATGGAAGAAACACCTCTTCCTCCCTGTCAAAAGTAATGCTTCCTCAGACATCTCAGAGGCAATAAGCTCATTAGCATTTAAATACATCTGCAAATACCAACAGATTTAGGCAAAGCGTGCAAGAACTGTAATCTTTTAAAAAGGCAGCATCCTTACCTGCTATTCCTATGAAGACTGTCAAACCAAAACAAACAAAGAATACTACAAAGACCAGAACAAAATGCCGTTTGGACAGTGTATATAATCGCATCGGTGCCAGCCTACAGGAAGCAAAAGAAAGCACAGAATTAGCTATTGGTCATAATTCCAAAGGGGAAAAAAAATAGATCCCATTCATTCTTCCACAAAGAAAATGAAAGTAAAATCCAAGGTAACATATAACACTAAGGAAAAAAACCAAACTGATGCTACTGTAGAGAGCAAGGATAACTACTAGGAATTATTAGATGTATGTCTGTGCACACACACCCACACCCCAAAATGTATGAATTTTGCCCATTCGTTTTATGCTAGGGTTTTCTATTGCCCTAAGACTTGAGCAAGAGAAAGCACTTATTAGAGGGAGAAAAAGTTAAACTTTTTTAGTTCATATTTTAATAATGTAAACATCCAAGACACCAGGTCTCCTGCAATGACAGCTTAACCTAAAGGGATTGACATCACTAACAACTTGGTTTCCAGCACAGGATCTTGATGAGTTTTCTACACCCTACATTATATATATATATATATATATATATATATACACCTCATCCCTGCAGGATCGTGCCTAACAAGGAGTAAGGCAGAACTCCAGATCTGCTAGATGTCGACACTCACGCTCTGCATTCTTGTCTGAGCTCCACCAGAGCTTGGGAAATAGAAACCTGGATATATACACCTCATCCCTGCAGGATCATGCCTAACGAGGAGTAAGGCAGAACTTCAGATCTGCTAGATGTCGACACTCAGGCTCTGCATTCTTGTCTGAGCTCCACCAAAGCTTGGGAAATAGAAACCTGAACTTACATTTATTATTAGGTTACTTAAATACAAATACACATAAAAGCAATGACATCTATTCCATAACTGGTTGGTGGTCATCATTAGGTTAAAGACAAAATAGAGGGGGGAAAAGCACTGGAACAGCCACCTGCATTCTCTTGGAGATAGGCAACTTCCAGTTCTGTTAGTTTAAGGGAAATAAGATCAAAGAATTAATCCTATATAACGTATCTCTCGTCTATCTTTCCTTTTGTTAAACGAATAGCTCAAAAAAGAACAAACCCACCATGTTTCAAAATACAGCCAACATTTTGGTTAGAGTTATGCCAGAACTGAGCCACCACACAGTGGATTTTCTATCGCACCTATTCCAGTAGGTGTGATCACAGAAAGCTGCATAGTTTATATGGGAAAGCTGTAGGTGGGGGGCAGGGGAGGGGTAAAGGAGTAGGAGGGGGAGATGTGTTGTTTCCTGATAAATTTGTAAGAGCACCAACGTGGAAAGAAATGAAAGCTCAAGACTTTAATGATAGTGCAGCCTTTCATAAATAATCAACCTTCTTTTCATCAGCGGAATGGTGTTCTTAGTGGTTCACCACATTAATGAATAAATGCAGAAAAGGTAGTGGAATCCTTTCCATAGGCCCAGCCCGAATTGCGGGTCCAGGTACCCCAGGCCTATATACCTGGCAGCCCTTAAAAGCAAGGCAAACAATTCACTGTAAACCAGTAAAAGGATTTTACAATAACTTGTATTTTCTTTAATAATCACTGCATTGTCTCCAAACAAGTCAGAGAAGTCAGAAGTGCTGATTGTACAGGCAAAAAAGGTAAACCACCCATGAAATTAACACAGTCGTAAACAGAAACAGATCAGATCTCTGTCATAGAGATCATGACACAGGAATCTCACAGACAAATATGTCTGAAGTTGACTTCGAAAAATGCCAATTAATAGAGGTATTTCAAACCAGAACTTGCCTGCACAACTTTTGCAGGGATATAACTACAGTGTTTTCCTTAAATCACTGTCTTAACGCTTCAGCCTTCATGCACTTAAACCACTTTAATGCTATTACATCTGTGCTAGTACTAAAATAAATATATAACTAAATAAAAAAGGTGCATTTCCCTATCCATTCCAAGAGCTCCTTCAGTTCCACAGATGACCTGGTAATCTTTGTCTGCCTAAGAACACCATGTATGGGATATTATCTTGAGATACCAAAACACTAATTTTAACAAGAAAATCATTGATATATAAAAATGGTACATAAAACACTGACATGCTTAAATTGGTTCAAGTGGATACCAAATGCCTCATGGAAGAGCACCCACTAAGGACCACTCAATGCACAGAAACCAGGTCTGGATTGGAAAGTCCATGGGTTGAGAACAGCTGAAGAGTATGATATATATGCAGGAAAGTATCATAAATGCTTGTACTGTCCTTAACAGCTTATGTCTGGGCATCCACTTAACAGTTACAGTCTGATGCAGGACACTGCCGATATACACTATGCATATTCTTGGTTCTTTTGAGAAGCTTCCTATTTTCCAAGCTTTTGTAGACTTTTCAAAGAGCATAATGTGAACATGAAACGCAACTTCATTTCCACAGTCCTTACAGGAAAGTCACCAGAGTTCACCCTGCCAACATTCACAGCTTTACAGCTATCAGCAATTATCACCTTGGTTTACTCGCACGCCAGAGCACAGATGCATTCGCAACCTTTCGAAGAAACACATCCCAGACATTGGCACATTCTTTATTCCAACTCCTCTCCAGCTGGTGCAACACCTCGTAGTAAAATGGGTAGGTATACACCTACCTTAGAACAGTCATGCTGGAACTTAACAAAGAGAGAAAGGACACACCATGTCTTTTCCCTTCTTCTTTCATACTGGTCCTCCTGAAGTCTCATTTAAGCCATTGACTCTATACGCTACTTTGCGGGTCACTAAGGCAACGTGGGCACTTTTTTGTAAGAGCAAATGTTAAGAACTCAGCCAAATCTTAACTGTATTTATCCTGACAGCAAACAACAATTTATAACATTCCCATCAGATGACGTATTCTTCATTGCCCCTCGCTGCAGTAACTGAATTTCCTTGTGTGGCTTAAATGTCTCATTTCAACCTATCACCAGCTGACATAAAAAGCAGACGAAATGATCCTCCCATATGCTCACTGCTTAATATCTGCCTTTTGGAAAGAGATTATACAAAATTTATGAATATACATCAGTGCAAGTTGATGATCCCCTACTAACAGCTTCTTTCTTACATCTGAATAAAAAATGAAATGTTTGAAAGGCATTTATGGGAAAAGCAAAAAAGGTTCCTCTGGAAGCACCTGTTCAAACAAGTAAAGAACCACGCTTTGCTTCACCACTGGAAGATGCTTTAATCAGGCTGTCCAAGGCAGCCTGAAGATCATCCAACTGCCTGCAGATTTCTAAGGCAGCTTTTACCACCTGTACTGCATTGTATCCTAACTCGGAGAGAAACTAAGTATTTTATAACTAAATTGGATATGTATGAAACTAACTGCAAAGGAGCAGAAAGCACTCAGCTACAAACAGAGAAACATTGCACTTGGACATTTCAAATAGTATAATTGAAAACTAAACTGCACTAATGCAATCTGTGACAGAATGAACTATGGAAATGCAGAGCCATAACATATGTGAGATGCAGTAGCCATTCATATGTGAGATGTAATGGTAGGTTAGATCTTGCTCTTTGAGTAAAGTTTTGGCTCAAATGGTTAAGCAAAATGTTTCTCAGGCTATTCCTCATCTTCAAATCACTTTTCATGCTTGCACAAAACAGTCTTTACTAAAGAGTATCAAGAAAAACAGAGCCTTTTATACAACAGTTTTCACTTAAGACTCTTGCTTTACAGATGGGAAGGCTGTGACAAAAGTGGGATTGAGCAGAAGGTAGCAAAGAGTTGCTATTAAAATCAGAAATAACTCACTTTTATGCAGAGTAGTTTTTCTGACATACTAGCCTCAACATCTCTGCCTCCAACTGCTCTTCTCTATTTTAGGCTTACTCCCAAATAAAACCATCAAAACCCCTTTGATTTAAATGATTACATATGCTCCCTACATTCACAGTACTGGGTCTATCTGTATATACTGCACTTTCTCACGGCTTAAAGACACTGCTTGCTTTGGTGTCCCCCAGAAGACCTTGAATTTCTTCTTGCAGATGTATTCCACCACGGTTAATAACTAATGAGGCGGCACGTGACTACATAAAAAGATGCCTATGATTAATATTAGCAGTACTACACAGTACTGTTCCATGACAACTGACAGGTAACTGACTATGCCGAACAGCCAAACTGCATGGGGTTGGGTTGGGGTTTTTCTAGTGTCTTGTTTGCTGAAGCCTGAATAATTAGTCACGACTATGGCTCTGTCCATGCGGAGACATATCCGGGAAAACAAGTTTTCCCTTAACAGACCCAATGTGAGAGATGAGATAAGGGGTGTGGGGGGGTAGGGGGTGAGGTGGCTTATTCACCACATGAGAGGGAAAACCTCAGCGTCTCTCTAAATAGAAGTGGGTAGTTACCATCCGGCCAACCATGGCCCCAGACACGCTAATTTAACCCTCGGTGATCTTACTTCCTTAATGACAATTAATGCGTGGAAAACTGAATGATAAGATTCGGGTTTTGACGAGGGGAGGGGGGGTAAAAGCTCAAACCACCGCACCCTGCCAGAGGACGGCATTTCTTCTCCCGGGTCCCGGTCCCGGTGCGTCGGGAGTGCCCCCCCAACCCTGAGACCCGCCTCCCCTCAGGCCGGCTTCCCGCCGCCCGTTAAA